TAGAAATTGTTTTAGAATTGTATCCAGGCAACAGTTTTCCCTATAAACTGACCTCTCAGTTTGACTTGTGAGGGTATTGCCCCAGAATTACAATATTGGTAAAGTACCTCTTAGCTATTGATAACTGGTTTAAATATAGCAGCTTGTTATCTGGTAGTTTCTAGTGTAGAAATATCAATCTGTTTTCTATCACTTAGATCTGTGTAACAAGTGTTGTAGGTGTGAAACAATATTACAAGTGACCGATGTAGTAAATTCAAATCAAATATACGCTTCGATTTGACTCTCAGATATGAAGAACAGGCCCCAAAATGTACTATTTAGCAGATTAGCAGCAAAACAATTAGAATGTTTACAAGTGCGCTGTAAGCGCACTATTAGACGCTTCGATTTGACTCTCAGATATGAAGAGCAGGCCCCAAAATGTACTATTTAGCAGATTAGCAGCAAAACAATTAGAATGTTTACAACTACGCTGTAAGTGCACTATTAGATGCTTCTATTTGACTCTCAGATATGAAGTGCACACCCCAAAATGTACTATTTAGCAGATTAGCACCCAGAAAATAAGAAATTTTACAAATGCGCTGTAAGCGCGCTATGTGACGCCTCTATTTGACTCTCAGATATGAAGTGCACCCCACTAAAATACTATTTAGCAGTTTAGCACCCAAATTTTTTTAAGTTTTGCAATGTGACAGCAGTATTTGACGATTCTATTTGACTCTCAGATATGAAGTGCACCCCACTAATGTACTTTTTAGCACCCAAAACATTTTTTAAGTTTTAAAACTGCAATGTGGCAGCAGTATTTGACGATTCTATTTGACTCTCAGATATGAAGTGCACCCCACTAATGTACTATTTAGCACGAAAAAAAATTGACTTTTTAAAACTCTAATGTAACCGCGGTATTTGACGCTTCTATTCGACTCTCAGATCTGATGTGCACCCCACTAATGTATTAGTTTGCAGAATTCTTTCCTAAGCAGTCCCTCACAGCGGCAGCATCCTCTCCTTACACTAATAAGACCCCATGTGCGTGCGGCGCTACGCGACTCCAGCTTCTATATAGAGGCTGGGTCACATGCTGCACTGGCCAATCACAGCCATGCCATTAGTAGGCATGGCTGTGATGGCTTATAAGGGCACACAAGTCAAACGCTTGTTGATTGGCTGCCCTGAAGCCTTTGAAAATGCGCCATTAAATCGACGAACACCGAACTCCAACCCAAACATACAGTGACTTGTATCCGGACTCCTGACCTGCACTCTGTTTACTTTATTTCTCCATTTTGTGTTTCATACCCATTTTTTAAAACTAGTTTTTAAACTTTTTTTTGCTTATTAATTTTTTAAAACTTTCCTAAACTTTCTTAAAGCTTTTTTCTTTACAGATTTAACATTTTTATAAGATTTTTTTTACCGTTAACACCTAACTAGCAGTAAGCAGCACTAACAGTAAATTAATTAAATAAATTGAAGTCCTGGGGGGTTAAAAAATAAATAAAAGTTAACCCTCAGGGGTTAAAAAAAGTTAGATCAGAGTATAATAGTGTGATCTGTATTTTGATCACTGTAGGCAGCGGTCAACTAGCAGGGAAGGGGTTAATTTTTATTTGGACTGGGTAAAGGGGGTGTTTTTTTTTTTACATAAATGTTATTAAAACATTTTTTAAAACTTTTTAAAGCTTATTTTAAAACTTTTTTAACGTTAACCCCTAGTTAGCCTAATACCAAATCCCCCAATTCCCCACTAACTTCCACCCACCCCAGCTATATAATTTTAAAATATTTAAAATAATTAATAAAATAAATGTAACACCTGAGGGTTAAAAAAAAATCAGATGACAGTAAAATGTAATCCCTGCCAATTGATCACTGTAGTCAGTTATCAATTGGCAGGGAAGGGTTTAATTTTATTAAAGCACGGGAAAGGGGGTTGGGATTTAACTTTTACTTTATTTTTTTTACAGGGAGAAGATCAGCAGCAGTGATCCGTCTCCCTGCACTTCACACTGAACCCGGAAGAGCAGGGAGGCGGATCGTGAGTCCCTGCAGCACATGTGCTCGCTCTGACAGCCTGCCAGAGCGAGCACTGCTACAGGGGCAGCGCGATCGGGTGCTCCCGGTCTGCCTCTAATATAGAGGCAGACCGGAGGAGCGTTAACCCCGCAATCACCTCGATCGACGGGGTCAACTTTACCGCATGACGGACCTGGTCCGTCATTCATCTTTAACAGTTTCCTCGCCATAACAGACCAGGTCCGTCATTAGATGGGTAGGGGTTAAGGAAGGTAGCTTATCTATTATTATTTTATTGTTTATATATTTATATACCGCAAGCAAATTCCGTAGTGCTGTACTAGGGGTATTGTGTAACAAATATTAAATGACCACTATAGGCACCCAGACCACTTCAGCTTAATGAAGTGGTCTGGGTGCCTGGTCCAGCTAGGGTTAACCCTTTTTTTTATAAACATAGCAGTTTCAGAGAAACTGCTATGTTTCTAAATAGGTTAATCCAGCCTCTAAAGCCTCTAGTGGCTGTCTCATTGACAGCCGCTAGAGGCATTTGCGTGCTTCTCACTGTGAAAATCACAGAGAGAAGACGCCAGCGTCCATAGGAAAGCATTATGAATGCTTTCCTATGAGACTGACTGAATGCGCACACAGCTCCTGCCGCGCATGCGCATTCAGCCGAAGAGGAGGAGAGGAGGAGGAGAGGAGGAGGAGAACTCCCCACCCGGCGCTGGAGAAAGAGGTAAGTTTAACCCCTTTCTCTCCCCAGAGCCCGGCTGGAGGGGGTCCCTGAGGGTGGGGGCACCCTCAGGGCACTATAGTGCCAGGAAAACGAGTATGTTTTCCTGGCACTATAGTGGTCCTTTAATATTTGCATGATTCTTTGTCATAGTCAAACGTTTGCCGTTCTACCCCTTTAAACAGAAACATTGTTTAATGGCCTCTGTTTTGGCTCAGAAAATATGTATCTGCTATTGGTTAAAAGTAATGAAATTGTTCTTTTTGTTAAACCATTATTCATCCTGCATACTACTACATGATGACAGTGAACCTTGCAATACATTTCAAATAGGAAAACATTATGATAGTGTGAAAAGTACAAACTGATAAACTTACAACCAAACCGCTAGGATTTATTATTAAAATGTTTTAGGTTCTATCTGCTGTGCTTATTACCCACTTATATGTTTCACCTAGTAAATAAAACAGAATAAAAATTATGAATTTAAGAATCATTTAACATTACTTAAAATACTTTAGATAATGTGTATCTTTAACCCCTTAATGACCAATGTCAGAATAATTCTAACAATCCTGCCTTTACATATCATATATAAACTATGCAAAACTAGCAGAATCTTTCCTAAAGGGTCTTTAGGGACCAGATTGTAATCCTTAATGGACCACTATAGACAACCAGACCACTTCAGCTCAATGAAGTGGTCTGGGTGTCAGGTCCATGTAGGATTAACCCTGCCCGCTTCAGAGAAATTGCTATGTTTACATGTTGGTTAAACCAGCCTCTAGTGGCTGTCTCATTGACAGCTGCTAGAGGCGCTTCCGCGCTTCTCACTGTGATTTATGCAGTGAGAAGATGCCAGCATTCATAGGAAAGCATTGAGATATGCTTTCCTATAGACTGACTATATGCGCGCGGCTCTTGCCGCGCATGCGCATTCAGCCAATGACGTCCAAAGGAGGAGGAGAGTCCCCAGCGCCGAGGGAGCCTGGAGCTGGAGAAAGGTGAGTGTTTAACCCCTCACTCCCCCTTCAGCCCAACGGGAGGGGGACCCTGAGGGTGGGGGGGACCTATTAATACTATAGTGCCAGGAAAACGAGTTTGTTTTCCTGGCACTCTAATGGTCCTTTAAAGTAACACTCCAAGGCTAAAAATATATATACATTTATTATCAACATCACTTTTTTTATTGATTTAAAAATTTGAAGAAAATAAAATAAAATAAAAAATGTAATCCAGTGTCAGGACAATCTTTTCTCAGCAAGTGTGTGGCATCTCCTGAGATCATCAGATTTGATGATCTCATTCCACTGCATTGCTACTCACAATGTTGGGAACTCACGGCACATGTGCTGCAATTATAGATTATGCTAAAGTAGTGTACTAATAATCTTAATTTTAGTAATGACAGGAGGTCTCTTTCTTTGGTGTGAGTGTAGATAGTCCCTTTATCTGTAAACAAAGAACTGTAGAAACTTGATGGTCTTACCCATGCCAAACTGTAACAAGTGTTTGGGGATTTTACGGCCCGCTTGTAGATGATGAAAGTATTCATACTGAAAAGAAGAAGAAATAAGTGAAAGGTATTGGTAATTACCATGATTCCACATCACATTCTGTCCATAACCACATCATATAATGTTACAAATGAATACTTATGCATATACATACAACTTTATGCAAAACGTAATCAACATTGAGTATCCTGTTAAACCCTCCAGAGCACTTTAATATCATTCCCTTGAAAACTAAAAGTCATAGTATAGGAGTATATATATATAAGCATAGAACAAGGTATATAGTCGACAAGGGAGGGAAAAACAACAAACAGAAAGGGGGGGGGGAAATACTTGCCTCTTGTCATTACTAAAATTAAGATAATTAGAACACTACGTTAGCATAATCTGCAATTTTACCACGACAGGAGGCTTCCTATTTCAACGAAAGCATAGCAATCTTCGGCATGACTGCTCTATAGGTACTTACAGGTAGGCTTCTTTGAGGTCCAGCCGAGTGAACAAATCGTCCTTGAGGAGCAGATCTTGAAGTAGATGGATTCCTTCCATCTTGAAATGGTGGTATATTATGAAATAATTGAGCTGTCGTAGGTTGGTGACCGGGCAGAAATCCCGTTTTCTTCTGCTGAAGAAACTGCCTAAGTCCGGTGTCTATTAACCCCTTAAGGACACATGACATGTGTGACATGTCATGACTCCCTTTTATTCCAGAAGTTTGGTCCTTAAGGGGTTAAACGGTGCCTTTGGCAAAGAGTGTTCGAATCTCCTCGTCGATCAGGGCCTCGTGCTCTGTGGAAGTCCACAACGGAGGTGGTGTCTGTAGTTGGTGTGGTAGGGTGTGGAACTCGATGGGGTACCCCTGGATAGCGTGAAGGTTTCGTGAAGGTTTCTTTGACATATTTGGATTCCGGGTAGGGAACTTCTTGCCAACCTGCTTTGTCATCCGAGTCGGAGGCCTCCATCTGCCATTCGTCTATGATATGGAGATTTTGAGGGTAAGCTTCGTCCTCCTCTGAGGACCCTGGCGGTGGGGGAAGTTCTTGCCTAGTTATATGTTTGCTACGTGTAATGGTATTTATTAATTAATGACTTTACGTCATAAAGAAAGCATATTTAGTGTAATGCTTTGGGGGCACCACTAGGGGGAGTGTGTAGGAAGACATGTGCTTCTGGCAGTGACATCACAGGCCAGCCTACTTACACTGAATAAAACCAGATGGAGGAGAAAACTCTGTCCCTTTGCCTGTACCTGACTGAACCTAAGATTTAGTACCAGCTCTGACTTAACCCCAGCCAAAGGGCTGGGGCCTTGTAAGTAATATGTTGTAGTTTTGTATTATCATTATTGTAGTAAATTGACATTCTGCTAGCATCTGTTTATTTATTATAGTTATATTAAATATACATTTAATATTACAACGTTTTGTGTATTTTCTATCCACATATTCGACCATAATACCATGAATTATAAAAATATTAATGTTGTTCCGTATTGCTTAATTATTATGTATTAAGAGATTAATATTCATATTTAGGTCACGACCACAACACTACGGTAGACCCCTTGCTCGATGCAATATAGGGTTGCCTGGTAGATGGGTGTTTACAAACACCTCTATGTGTGCTGTGCTGTGCGGGCTTAAATGCAGTGCTGGTCTTATTCAGCGGCTAATTATAAAAAAGGGGATGATACCTTTGTAAATTATGGGGAGGCGTTAAGAGACTTCAATAGCCAAAGGGGATGACCCCTAAGTCCCAGTGGGGAGGTACCTTATATACATGGGTATAGTTCGTTAGTAATGAGTTCCTTGTATGTTCACACATATATAGCACCAGGGGCGTAATTTAGTAGGTAGCGCAGAGAGTGAATCTGCAGGGCATGTGGGTTCACCACAATAGAAGCAGGGGTTCACCCCTACATGCAGCTGTAGTAAGCAGTCTGCACACCAGGCGTATTCAGATAATTACTGTATCTTTAAGGTAATTGTAAGCATCAATAATGAGCACTAGCATAGATTGTATCTTGGTAATAAATCCTGATAACATACATCAATAAGCCATACAGCATTGTAAACTATGCAAGAGTAGGCATCTTAGCAATAAGTAAGTTAAACAATAGTTGTGGAGTCACCTTGTATGAAGGTCCAGTGTGTTCTGGGTGTGCTGTGAGTGATAGGAGGTGTCTCCACTATCGGTGAGGTACAGGCCGTGATGCAGTGCCTGCAATAAAAAAACAAAATGGTCGCTGTGAATCTCACGAGATCCAAGATGGCTGCCACGTGCGAGGACCTGGCAGGAAGAACTCCGCAGGTCTCAGAGTGTGTGCCGTGAAGAGAGAGAGAGCCCTGACAGCCCCAGAGAAGAGTGTGTTAGTAAGAGAGATCCCCATGCCCAAAACTGCTGCGAGCTGCGATACGGAAACGTAAAGAAGTAGGAATGAGTAAGCAGGGGCCAGGGAGCCACAGCAAACAGACAGGGACTGACAGGAATAGGCACAAATTCAAAGTTGAGAAAAACAAGTACAGGTTTAGTACAAACTAAGCAGGAAAGGAACTAACCCTATCAATACAAATAACAGTCAAATAGGATAATAATAACAGTGATCAGTGGGGAAGCAAATACTCTGACCTGTTTCTGCGTGGAGCAGCAAAGAAAGAGGAAGATTTGGGGGCTGTCCTACCTTATATCTGTTATAACTGTTGTTTTCTGATTGGTTTAAAGTTTTTGATTGACTTGATTGCTGCTGGAGTTTTAAAGTAAAGAAAGTCAATGCAAAATAGGAAGCCTCCTGTCGTGGTAAAATTGCTGAGGTCTGGCAACCTGATGCTTCTCTATGAACAATATTGCTCACATTCGGCATCATCATGAAAACATAGAGATCTTTGATTTACAAAGGTCTTAATGAGGGTGTGCCTCTAGTGGCTGACGTTCAGACTATGCTCTCTTGCAAATGCAAGCATCACTATTTCTAAAAATGGCAATATTTTACACTGCCATATAGAAAAAGGGGCAGGGTCTGTACACATACTACAACACTATATTAAGATATGATTTTAGTGCTTAGAATGTCCCTTTAAGGAGTTATGGATTAAACTGTAATTATTTGGAATATTAAGTTAATAGTTGCCAGAGAAAGCAATGAGCAAATCAGATGCTGGTAATTCAAGTCTCCTCGTCCAGCCGGTGGAAAGTGAAAGGATCTCGTTGTTATTGTCTTTGTGATGACATTTCATTGAAGATACAATCTGACAATTCCATCCATCACATTGCAAAACCTGCTTATTATTATGTAACACGTTGCAATGTGACAGTAAAGTTGTCACTAGTCTTTCACTTGGCATTTATGGTTTTCGCAATTACATTAGAGATTCTAGATTTATTCTTGATCATAACACGGTCATTATATGTTGGGATTGTTTATTCAACTGCAATCCATTAGTGTCTAAATGTAGCTAATGGATATTCTTACTGAGGGAGTTCATGATGAGTGCTAATGGATATTCACATATACATATATTTTCTTAATGACAGGATAAAAAAAGAATTATGAGATTGTTTTGTTTTATATTCAGTTGAGAGGTATCTATCTATCCAGTGCTAAGATATCCAGGACAAGTAGTCTTACAAACTGTCTTGTTATTGTTACTATTGTCACTGTACGGTGCTGTACTTTGGGTAGACATAGTATAGGGATAGCAAATCAAGTTGACAGTAACAAGAGGTGATGAAGTCCCTGCTCACATGGGTTTATAGTCTAGACCAGTAATGATTAACCTTGATATCCTGATATTGCTATCTACATTGATCATGATATCTAGCCAGTCAGAAAAAAATGGGAAATTGAGATTAGCTTGTGAAAAGGATGTAGGCTATAATTACACAACAGAAAAATAAAATAAATGTATTCAGAATGTAAAATAGACTGCCAAGTGTATAATCCATATTGAGCAACACAATATTACAAAATCACAAAAGCTCCCGGTAGACTAGGTAGGCAAACAAAGAGGAACAGACGGTGGGAGGACAAATTGAGTGAGGACCATAATGTTCCCTGCTGTAAAGAGATGATATTCTTTCCTAAATAAGTCATTTTGAGGGATTTTTTTTAAAAGACTGGACACTAGGTAAAATTAACATTCCATAAGTACATTGCAGTTCTAGTGAAAGAAGACCGTTTAAGTAAGAATTGATGCTAGTGGGGGCGAGTGGAAAATGCTGAAAATCTTTGGCAGAAGAGAGAGCAAAAGATACATTGTAATTCTGAGCAGCTTATTCCGCCCTGCCTTGGAAAAATAAAAAAATTAAAAACTTTAATTCCTAAAATAATCTTTTTTGCACATGTGCAATCTGGCTAAATTCTATACCTCCCATATCCATTAATACAAAAATAATAATAAAACAAATACCATAGCAAAGCTAGTAATAGTATAGTCCAGAAAGTCAACTAATGTACTTAAAAAAAAAAAAAACAATAAATGAAAATAAAATTGGAAGATTGTCCGTCGGTTACTCTGAAGAACATCTAATGAACATTCATACTCTTTGAATACAGGCTTTTCTATTTCAACTTTTCATTTCCATGTGAACACGTTCCGGTATAAAAATAAAATATTGATAATAACATATTTGAAAATCTTACCGAAAGCGGTTTGTTTCAGAGTAATGTATTTTATTCATGAGGTGAGAATTTGTAATAAGATTTTTTAACAAAAGAGTTCAGAACACATGTGTACAAACAAGCAAAGTAAGATAATAAGATGCACAAATCAGCTTTGTAAAACAGGTTGCTGCAAAAACACAAAGCAAAGTAAAAATTAATATGAAGAAATCACATTTTAACAAATATAAGTGAAATAATGCTTACTGTATAAAGTCAAATTCATATACAGTGGCTAAAAGAATACACAGTAATTTAGCAGGACTTAATGGATTTTGAATAATCAGTATTCCAACATAGCCCGAGGGTGTATTTCATTTTGTATTAGGAATGACAAAACTAGATGTGGAAAATACAGAAAAGGTCATGACTTTTGCCAGTTGCAATACAAGGGAGCTTCAACAAGAGAACTGCAGACAAATTAAAAAAATAAAGAACAAAAAGAACAAAAGAGGGTAAGTTACTATATATCAACTGATAAAAAGTGTACAAAGCTATTTAAATTACCTTACACAACTTAAACTTATATTAAAGACTAGTGATGTCCCGAACGGTTCGCGAACGGTTTGCCACGAACGGTTCGCCACGGACTCATCATTGAGTAAACTTTGACCCTGTACCTCACAGTCAGCAGACACATTCCAGCCAATCAGCAGCAGACCCTCCCTCCCAGACCCTCCCACCTCCTGGACAGCTCACTAAGAATGCAGCTTCAAAATGGATGCTGTCCAAGAGGTGGGAGGGTCTGGGAGGGAGGGTCTGCTGCTGATTGTCTGGAATGTGTCTGCTGACTGTGAGGTACAGGGTCAAAGTTTACTCAATGATGAGTCCGCGGCGAACCGTTCGCGAACCGTTCGGGACATCACTATTAAAGACCATTAAAGGGATACTAAACACCAAAACAACTTTAGTTTAAAGGGAATCTATAGTGTTAGGAATGCAAAGCTGTATTCCTAACATTATAGAGCCCACTTGCTTCCCCTCCCTTGCAGCCTCCCTGGCCAATAAAGGATTAAAAACCCTTTATTTACTTGTCAGATTCCAGTGGCGATGTCCCTCGGCAATGGGTCTGCGCTCCGCCTCCTCCAACATCATCCAACTGGGGGGCTAATGAAAAGGAAAGCGCTGTGAGCACATTAGGCCATCCCCAGAGGAAAGTATTGAATCAAAGTTTTCCTATGGTGATTTTACTGATCTCATGCAAAGCGCGAAGATGTCCAGCGTCAGTTAGGTGAACTAAAGTCTGGTAAAATCCTGGAATTTGATAGATAGCCACTAGAAGTTGTCATTAGTACTGCAATGTAA